GACCTATTTCTGTCATTGAACAGATGCATGACTTTGAACTAGTCACTTAACCTCTCACACTTTAGTCCAGAAATTTTGGTCATTTGTTGTTTTCTATTTTTTCTTTCTCTGCTGGTTCTCCTGTTTCTACTTTGCGCTTTTTAGAAGTATACTCATCTTTTTCATCACCTGATTCCAATGTCTCCTCCTCCTCCAGTAGAAGCCTCGCTTTCTTAGCATTTTGTGGGGCATCAACACCATTGTCCTCATACATGTTAGACCATTTTATAGCCACATCCAGCTCTGGAGGTGGAGGTTTCTTTTCAGTAGTGTGTGTAGCTCTCAGGAAGTGGTACATAGTTTGACTTCCATATTTTCTTTCGGAGACAAAGAAGAACCCAGTCTCAGAGATACTACACCAAGGCTGAGTCCTTCAGGAGGCTGCAGCAGACTGTCTTAGAGGCGCCCGGCCACAGGCACTGGGATGTCAAAGAGAAGGAGTCTGGGAGAAGCTCCCCCAGCGCCTTGACAATGCACAGAGCTCTCCTAATCTACCCGCTTTTTGAGCGGATGGTAGGGAAAGGCTGGGCAAAGTCACGCTGCTAAACAGCTCGTCTCCGTCTCCTTCTCTGCCTTGTTCCCAAAGCTGGCCACCCACTTCGTCGGAGCTGGGGCTCTTCGACTTGTCGACTTGTCTTCTCTGGGCCTGAGCTGCTGCTCCTGTAAGCCACGAAATAGCTCAGGGGACACTTCTCCTCGGCTGCCGTGACAGCTGCCAACAGTGTCCTTTATAAGGGCAGAAGTTCTCAATCTGGTGCACCCAATTCATCAATTTGTCAACGCCTTAGTGCCAGAAAAACCACCAGGGAACACCGAAGTTTATATTTTAGGTTTATCATTCCTTGCAGCGAGGGAGAACGCTCACCATAAGGAACTGTCGGGAGTCTTGGTAAGAGGATGTTAGAAAACTATTACGGGATTTGGGTTTTGGTTGGATAATTTGGGGAAAGATCTAAGGAAGTGGATTGGATGTCAAAAAGCAGGCACAATTCCATGATTGGGTTCCTCAATAAATCTTGTTTATAAGGATGGCCAACTAAAGCAATGATAAAGTTATAACTGGTAAAAAAGTAGCAGTCACTCATTTTAGCTGAGAGGGGGATGTTTGATGTGTGGGTTGCATGCACAATCACCTTGCTTTTGCTTTATTTCATCATGGTCTCAGATTGACTTTATCTGATGTTGGTGTTCTGTGAGATTTTTGTCCAATAAGAGAACAGTATTAACTAGTTAACTGGTTATTAACTAATGAGCATCAGGCCAACTTTGTAGTAACACTGAGGCCTTGCTTTGTCGGTCAAGTTCCGGAGTAAGAGACTCCTTTTTCCTTTCTTGATCTTTTCTTCTGTGGATCTCTCTTTTGCTCTCATATCTAAGACCCAAGATCACAAAGATTCTCTTCTAGCTTTTTTCCTCTATAAATTCAATGGTTTTACATTTAGGTCAACAATCCTTTTGAGTCAATTTTTGTGTAGGGTGCTAGGTATAGATCAAAGTAATAGTAGTGGTTGTAGTAGTAGTGGTAGTGGTAGTAGTGGTGGTAGTGGTAGTAATAATGGTAGTAGTAGTAGTTCTTTTTCCCTCCTCTTCTCCCTCTCCCCCTTTCCTTCTTCCTCATCCTTTTCTCCTCCTTCTTTGCATAAGGATATCCAATCATTCCAGCATCATTTGTTGAAAAGACTGTGTTTTCCCCACTGAATAGTCTTTGTTGGAAATCACTTGCCCATGCATTTTACATATATATCTCTGTGTGTGGGGGGGTCTAGTTTTGGAATCTCTATCCTATCACATTGATCTACTTGTTTATTTTGACATCAAAACCATACTGTCTTGATTACTGTAGCTTTATAATGAGCCTTGATGACTCTACTGTTCTTTTTCAAAGTTGTTTTGGATGTTTTCAGTCCTTTTCATGTGAATTTTAGAGTCAACTTATGAATGTCTACAAAAATCCTGCTAGGAGTTTGAGATGAAATTGAATCCATAGATCAATTTGGGGAGAATTGATCTAATGAGTCTTCTGATCCTTGAACACAGTTTATCTCTCTATTTGTTTATCTTCTTCAATTTCTCTGAATAATGGTTTGCAGTTTTTAGTTTAGTTTCTGTTTTCAGGTTTCACACATTTTTTTCCTCTTTTTCCTTAAGTTTTTTATAATTTTTATACTATAAATGGTATTGCTTTATAAATTTCAATTTCTGCTTATTGCTAGTATACAGAAATACAATAATTTGTCCCATGGGCTATTTAGAGATGTGTTGTTTAGTTTCCAAATAA